CGACAGCCCGTGACTTGAGGTCGCCGACGAAGCAGACGAGTCCCTGAAGCCAGACTCGGCGGGCGAAGTCGGGCTGGTCGGCACGGACAAATTGCCCGTGGGCGGCTTCTTGCCTGCCTTGGCGAGCGCGTTCTGCAGCGCCGCCTTGTTCATCGAGGGTCTTGGCGTCTCCTCGTCCGCTGCGGTCGCTGCTGGCTGCAAGGCGTCTCCGATGCTCTTGATCGTCGGCGGCTCCGAACCGGACGAGTCGAGGGGCACCTCGCGCACTCGCCACGAGAAGACGAGCGAGCCATCATCGAAGATGGACGTGTCGGGGAAGGACGAGAAGGCGATGTTGTCGCGCTCCTCCCTGCTGATGCCGAGCGGCGGGTAGAGAAACTCGAGATCGGGGCCGAGCTCGAGGTCAAAGTTGACGCAGCCCACGGAGAGCACCCAGCGCTGCATGGCTTCGCGGTCTAGCTTGAGCGAGCTGGCAGGTGTCGAGGTTCCAGGCGAGTGTGTCGACACCGAGGCAGCTGGTGATGCGCTCGACTGGGTCGCTGCGCGAGCTGTCTTGCTGGCACTCGAGCCGGGCCGTGACGACTTTTGGCCAGTCTGCCTGCGTGAGTCGGATGAGGTAGATGGTGGTGCAGGAGCGGAGCCTGGCGGGACGGGAAAGGTGGACGTGCGAGGCGAGGGTGCGTGGAGCGAAGTTCTTCTGCCGGGCACGTTGTAGCGACCGGTGGTGCTGGATTCGGAGGTGCGTGGCGAGTCCAGGTCGAGGAAGCTGGTCATGGAAGGGGAGGAGGGAGCGATACCCGAAGGCGCGTAGGCATCCACGCCGAGATCGCCGTAGCCGGCGCCGACCGAGAGGCGCTTGGAAGCGTCGCGGAAGGAAGCGTTGCGGGGCGGAGCGTGCGGACCTCCTTCGCCGACGGGCAGGCGGTCCTGGGGCGGTGGCAAGCCGGAGCGTCTGCTGCGCCGCGAGGAGCGGGCGAGGGCGGCCGAGTGGGTGGTGCGTGTGTCCGAGTCGTGTGCGTTGGACGAGGATTCCGCGTCGCGATCGGCGTCTAGTTCCTGTTCGAGGCTCAGCGCGTGCTTGTCGGCAGAAGACACGTGAGAGGCAAGCGAACGCGAGGTGGGGAGGCGCGCCTGTGTGATGGTGGAGACCGACGCGATGCTCTGCTGCGAGACGGAGGCAGGTGGGGCGTTTGGCGGCGTGGACGAGCTGGTGACAGCCTGGAGGGGTGCTGCGGAGGCCAGCTCGATGGCTCGAGACGGTGCAGGTGGGTTGCGATGCGCTCGGTCCGAGGCCGGGCTCTCTGCGGCCGAGGTATAGGCGTCGCTGGAGGAGGAGTGGCTGTTGGTATGCAGATGCTGCCTGTTTCGGTGGGAGACGGGAAGGGTGGAAGGTGGAGACGTGGCTGGTGCAAGATCGGAGCGGGATGTGTTAGGTTGGCCCAGCTCGTCCTCGAGCGAAAGGGCTGCGAATGCAGAAGGAGGGGCTGATGAAGTTGCGTTTGGTGCGAGGGCCGGCTGGAGCTGCGCGCCGGGGCTTGACGCAGATGAATGCGTGAACGACGATGCTGCGGCAGGAGGTTCGGCGGGCGGTGTTCCTGGGTAGGCGGGGATGGCGGTCAGCGCGGCTGCGCGTGCATCGGCATGGTCTGCAGGCTCGAAGGAGGTGGATGGCGAGCTGGACTGCATGGCAAGCAGGCCGAGATCGCCATCGCCTGTATTTGAGGCGGAGAGGGAGCCGTGGTAGGCGGGCATGACGGGTGTAAGCGTGCCACGCGACTCGCGGCTGGGACTATGTGAAAGCGAGGGTCGAGCGCAGGGTGCACGGATCGGTCATTGATTGTTTGGCGTAGATGAAAGCAAGAGGGCGTGTACCGTTGCAGAGGAGCTTTGCGTATGTTTGTCCAAGAGGCGTTGGGATGGGCAGCCAAGGGGTATCCAAGAGTCGTGGCCGCGTGTGGATGGTGAGAAGGTGGGTTGCTCTATGGTGCGCCGCGAGATGAGGTGTTGGCCATACGCAAGAACCAGAATCTGGGATGCGTCGACAAGGTCGATTGTTGGGTATGCTGAAGCTGGTGAATCCTGCGGCCGTGGTGGTCGTGATGGTACGATGCGATGGAGGAGCCGTGCAAAGTGCGGATGGTTCCCGAAGTGAGACACGGCGGCTAAGCTTGGCGGTGGTGCGGTCGCGGTGTGTCTGTGTGTGTCTGTGTGTCTGTGTGTGGATCTGGGATGAGATCTGCTGGTTGCAGTATGCAGTGTGCGAGGAGAGAGAGCCGTTTTGGATTTTTGACATTTCGCCCGCACGCTTTCACCTTTTGGCTTTCACTCGCCCTCGCCTGACACACACACACACACACACACAC